GCGAGGTGATGTAAACAAGTAAATCCGGCAAGAAATCCAAGTTATTGGATAAGGACTGTAAATAAAACCTGCAAGGAACTCCTGTTGTCAGATAATAAAAATGTGCAAGTAGTTCAAGTTGAAAGCACACAAGTCATACAAACAACCTTAGGTTTAGGCTTGCATGGGGTCTAGGTATTACCCTCTTGAAGTTCAGTTGGTTCAACCTGTCCTAATAAAAGTAACCGGGTTCTAGAGGTTCTCAATATCACTGACCATCCTCCATCGGTCATAGTTTCAGCTCACGCAATCTTTTCTTGCAGCCGGAACCATCTCGAGAGTATGGTCTCAATGAGTGTAGCATCTCACTACTTCTTATGGCCAAGTTGGTCAATTATAGGTTCTAAGGTCAGTTGATGCTTAATGACCCATATAGCAGCCCCATATTCTCCTTGTTGCTCCACAAGGGATATCGGTACCAACTAATGTGCCACATCAACGTAGCTACTGCTTCAACCGTATCAGTCTACGCCATACAGTTCCCTCACAATCTATTGCTACTTACCTAAAAGGTGTCCCCTAGATCCGGGTTAGGATCTATAGTAACTCCGATACAAAGCCCACAAAGATAAAGCAATCAAATCAAACAATAGAAAACAATATGATGAACTAATCCTAAGGTACACCCCACTTATTAACTCCCCATCAGAGTCGCCAGTTCTGTGATACGGTGGCCAGAACCGGGACTTGTTTTTTAGGAATGCTGGTTTGCGTTTTGTGTTTTGTGTTTGCAAAATGTCGTGGTAAGCAAGAGTCGCCACCGACTTTTATTTTATCCAACAAGGAAAGGAAAAAAGCACAGAAAAAATCCTTTTTTGAGATATTTCTGAGTACGGGGGATAGATTATAGAAAGGGAAGGTATTAGCATCCTTTCTATCCGTAGTTATCTACGGGCTCTTAGGTACTTGCTCATCATTTTCAAAATTTCTTCTTTGTGTTTGTGTGATTTGAAAAGTTTTTGTTTTGACTTCGATTTAACCCTTGCTTCTGTCTTCAAGATTGTTACGAAGTGTTTTTGAAAAATTTGTTTCTAAAGGAGTGTAAGTGTGGAAAAGTTTGTTTGGATTGAGCAAGTACTTAAGAGCTAATCTACCTACTCGTAAAAAGAATCGTTCTATGTTTGTTTCCTTTAGACAGCGCTATCCCACTATTAGTGAGTAGGTAGCACCATCGTTGGAGTTTTGAGGGTCAATTCAAAAAGGGACGTACGATCACTAAAGCAATGTTAGGACGTCTTAGTAATAACCCTAATATCTTAGATCAATCATCCGAGGCAATAATATCCGAGGCAACCTTTCTGAGGTAACTTTGATCTTTGGACAAAAAGGATGTCCACTAAAGCATCCTATACTCAATGATCGTTTACCAAAGGTAACCAAGTGGGAGTGTACCCTAGGAGTGCGCATGTGCGAGTGATTCAATTTCAGATTATTTATCTTTGCACATTTTAGGGTTATCTAACTGTTTTAAAGTTAGTCATACATTCTTGTCATGCATCCCTAATATTCATACATCTAACAGTTAAATATTTTGCAGAATTTTAAAGTGCGGAAATTAAACTACGCTATTACAAGGCTTCAGGTATTTACATAGCAAAAAAAAAACCCTTAAAAAATAAAGCGGTAAATGAAAATAAAAGACCTAATTAAACTATTACAACTTGTGGGCAGTTACATCAATATGGTAAAAATAAAATACTAAAGCGCGCGATGAAAATTAGATTGGGAGAGAACTAGGGTTTTGACCCTTTCTAACCTGATTAAAAGAAAAATTGTTTTTGTTGTTTTTTTAATTATTTTTTAAAGAAAAGAATTAGGTTTTCTAAATTAAATGCACAATTAATTAGCTAATTAAATTAATTAATGAAAATAAATATTTAGCCTAATCTTGTGTTTTTGGTTATTTTTAGGAAAAGAAAATATAATTAAGTTAGAAATAAAACCCTAATTATTCTAATTATTTTTAAATTTATTTACAAAAAGAAATTAAATTTATCTATAATTAACAACCTAATTAAATTAATTATTTTTTGATAAAAAAAATAAACTTAATCCTAATTGGGTGAAAAATATTATTTTTATGATTTTTTGATAAAAGAAATAATTAATTGTGTTAGTAAAAGAATTAACTAAATTAAATAAAACAAATATAAAAAGAAATAGAGAAAGAGTTATTGGGTCTAGAAGTAATCTGAGGGGGGTGTAGATAGCAAGCCTTGGCCCAAAACCATGAAGTCCACGCTTGACTTTTTGAGATTCCATGCCATGCGTTTGACTAGGCGTTTGGTGTTCCCTCATGGATGGCCCTTGGATCTGGATCTCAAGACACTTGGCTGATTGGTTGGTGAGGTCATATGGTGGACCTTGGCTTTGTAAGCGCATGCAATTCCTGAAAGCAAAATAATGTGAAGAAATTGGAGGACCTGGGATTCAAACCCAGGCCCCATGGGACTTTCCAACGCTTGGCAACCAGCTGAGCTACGCTTCTGATTTGTACATAAAATAAACAATAATAATAATATACAAAAACAAGAATTAGTGGAGAATAATAAAAAAATGTGCGCCAGAAGTTTGAATGGACCAATGGTTACTTGCCAACTAGTCATCTTCAACCTTATTCCGTTGGTAAAAGTCCCAGACTTTTACCTACGGAGGTTTGTCCATAGCTACAGGTCCTGTAAATCTCAAAACTCAATGCAAGCGTGATAAATAAAAACGAAGGCCATGGATAGCTTCGTCTAGACCTGCTGAGTTCAATGGGGACCCTTTCATGGCCCAATTTTGCATGTAAACAAAAATCCTAAATTGAAGCTACAAACCCTAATAATGGTGAAATCTTATACAGTCCATATAAATGCAATTAAACAATATAGAAAGCTTGCAAATGTTCCAAGGATCAAGAATATATGGTTAATTCGTGCTAACAATGTCTAAATCATGAAATTCGAATTCAAGAAAAGCCCAAGGTCATGGCTGACTTACAGTGAGTTTCAAGGCCTGGGAGTGCTTGTTCTTGATTGGTTTAGGTCCCTTATGATCCCAGGAAGCGATTGGGATGGTCAAAGGATCTTGAAATTGCCTCAAAGTATGAATTCGTGTTTTCACTTTTTATGGTTTTTTCCAAGTTTTGTTCTTGATGCTGCGCCCCTCTCTCGCCTTGCTTTAGGTCTGCAAATCATCCTTATGTACTGAGGAATGAATTAGGGTTGAAAGAATGTCCTCAATCTTCCTCCATCATTGCATTTGATTTTGATTTGATTCCTTTGAATATCTTTCCAAAAATAGTCCAAATCCAATCTTTTTGTGCACCTCATGCCTTTACACGAATTTGATCTCATGCTAGCTGGATTTAAGACCTGAAACATGTATCAAATCTTGAGATTTCAATATTTTGGATTTTCTATGATTTGTTTTGATTTAAATTAATTTAATTCAAATCAAAATCAAAATAAATAATAAAAATAAAATAATGACAAGTGGCAAAGGCTAGGGCTCGTGGACCATGGTGCCAACTCAAAACAAGTGCAAAAGATGGGGTCCATTTGGCAAAAATTGCATTTTTAGGCATAGTTTACTTTTGGCAATTTTGCAAAAAGGATCAACTTCACCAATGCATAACTTCCTCAATTTTGACTCTTCGAAGGTGTTCTTGGACTTTTTATAAATCTGGAAATGTCCTCTAAGCAAACCTTTTGGTCCTATCTAAATTTGGTATTCCATGATCATGTATGAAGCTTTGACAAAAAAAGGTGTTTTTGTTGACTTTTCAAAATGACCTATAATGTCCAAATTCATAACGTCTTGTGAGTGCATATTTTGAACTTGGGAGATGAAGATGGATTGTATAGAATTGCATCCTATTAAAAATAATCTTTGTATGGGTCATTTATCATAATGTATGAGAAAGTTATGCTTGGTCAAAGTTGAGTTGACTTTTCCTACAAAACCCTAATTTAACAACTTTTGGTTCTTGATGAATTATGAGCAATCCTTGATGAATCATGATCAACCCTTGATCAAATGATGAAATATACTTCAAAATGAGGATGTTGACCAAAAATCTTGGAGTTTGACTGTATGTGGGCCATAGTTGACTTTTGCCCTAGCACATTCGATTTTCAGGCCTTTGAGCAATTGATTGAGCAAACTTTCTCTGTAGGGCTTGAAACTTGACATGGATGATCTTGAGAACATATTTGGAAATTGGTGAGCATTTTGGATCCCTTGGACTCAAGTATCTTGATGCAACATGAAACCCTAATTTGAGATAGACTGCCTTAGGAGAGGGCTTGTTTGGTCAACCCTTGGACTTCCTTGAGCAACTTGGGGATCTTTCTTGAAATGTTTTGAGAAATATGGGAGGGAAAATTTTAGGGTACAACACCTCCCTTTCGGGTTTTTAGTCCACCGGGATACCCTTTTTTGCCCAAGCCGCCCTTTCGCGTTTTCAGCTTGCCGGGTGTACAATTTTTTTAATATTTTATCCCTAATTTTTGCCCTAACCTTTGTGGTTCGTCGGGATGCCCTTATTTTTCCTAGGTGTGTCAACCTAGAGGGTCTCTTATGCATAGTATCTTTTTACTATGTCCGTGTTTACAGGGTTTGGAAGGTCGTCGCCATCCATTGTGGTTAAGATCATTGCTCCACCATAGAATATGTTTTTGATCACAAATGGTCCTTCGTATGTAGGAGTCCATTTGCCCCTGGGATCACCTTGTGGTAATATGATACGCTTGATTACCAATTCATCAACCTGATATACCTGACGTCTTACCTTTTTGTTAAAAGCTTTGATCATACATTTTTGGTACATCTGGCCATGACAGACAACCGTAAGCCTCTTCTCATTAATTAAGTTCAACTGGTCAAGCCAAGTTTTGATCCAATCATCTTCATTCAGCCCTACATCCTTTATGATTCTTAGAGAAGGTATTTGTACTTCAATTGGTAGAACAACTTCCATGCCGTATACCAAGGAGAAGGGAGTTGCCCCTGTTGATGTGCGCGTCGTGGTACGGTAACCGTGGAGAGCAAAAGGTAACATCTCATGCCAGTCCTTGTAGGTTACTATCATTTTTTGTATGATCTTCTTGATGTTTTTATTTGAGGCTTCGACAACGCCATTCATCTTTGGTCGGTAAGAAGAAGAATTATGGTGCTAGATCTTGAATTACGTGCATAGTGCGGTGATCATAGTATTGTTGAGATTCGTACCATTTTTTGTGATGATTCTCTATGGGATACCGTACTGACAAATGAGATTCTGTTTGATGAACCGGGCCACAACATTCTTGGTAACAAAAGCGAAAGAAGCTGCCTCAACCCACTTCATGAAATAGTCAATGGCCACCAAGATAAAGCGGTGTCCATTAGAAGTTGTAGGTTTGATTTCTCCAATCATATTGATGCCCAAAATCGTGAATGGCCAGGGAGCAGTCAGGACGTTTAGAGGAACTGGAGGCACATGCACTTTGTTAGCGTAGATCTGACACTTGTGGCAGGTTCGTGAATGTTGATAGCAATTTGCTTCTATGGTAGGCCAGTAGTACCATGCCCGTAGAATCTTTTTAGCCACCGTGTGCCCACTAGAGTGGGTGCCAAAATTGCCTTCATGTAGATCAACCATGATTTTGTATGCCTCAACCTTGTCTATGCAATGAAGCAAAACAGAGTCGTGGTTGCACTTGTAGAGAATGCCATTACTTAGGAAGAACTTAGCAGAGAATCTTCTTAAGAACTTCTTATCATTGACTGAAGCTCCTTCTAGATACTCTTGAGCCTCGAGATACCTCTTGACTTCATGGAACCAAGGCTTGTCCACTACTTCTTCATTATCGATCTCGTGACAGTAATCTAGTTCATCCATCTGTTCAATGGTGATCTGGGGAGCCTCGTTACCCCACTCGAGTTTAAACATGGATGACATACACTACAAGAAAATTAGGATTTTACGACACAAAAATTGCGACAGTTACTTGATAACTGTCGTAATTCTAATATAGAGACACGTTTCACGATGGTATACACCAATCATCCTTATATATTTAAAAAATTATTAAATATTGCGACAGTTTTTTATTAAACCGTCCTAAAATCAATGTCGCGACGGTTAACAAACCGCCATAAAATACACATCACGACGGTATAACAACCGTCGCCCCGTACACTACAAAAAAGTGATAATAATATAATATATTTATCAAATTAAATTAATATAAAAAAATTAAAAGATTTTCTAACAAAAGAACATAACAGGTCCAAAAGCTTCTCCTTTTTTCTCTTCTCGTCGCTGCCCGACATCACCGGCTTCCACCACAACCATGTCTTCTCTTCATTTCAACCTCCATCCACTCCCTCCATCTTCATCTCCACTACTCACCACCACCAACAACATTTCTTCCTTCTCCCCCACTTCCCTCTCCATCTTCTACAACAACCACCACCACCTTCTTCGCTTCAATCTCATCGGGATTTGAAGCCGCAGAATTTGCTTCTCGATCAACAGCAAGGGATTTTGAAGATTGCTGATCTTGGTCTTGGGAGGGCTTTTACCGTCCCGCTTAAGAGTTATACTCATGAGATTGTTACTCTTTGGTATAGAGCTCCTGAAGTTTTGCTTGGATCTACTACCTACTCTACTAGAGTTGATATCTGGTTTGTTGGATGTATCTTTGGTACGTCATTCTCTCGATTTCAATTCTTTTTTCTACTTCTTCTTGTTGTTGCTGCTAATTTACCATAATTAGGGTTTTGGATCTCATAGTAGAATTGTTGCACTACATAGTATAATTTGAACAAATTGTTAGGGTTTTGTGTAAAATTAGGTGGATTCGCGGCAGTGATGTGTAGCGGAACTCAAATGGAAATACCCTACAAAACATCAGAAGAATCGTCTGGTTCATCATCATCATTTTCGAACGAATTTGCTGCGATTAAGATGCCATTAACACCGAGTCCAACTCCGACTCACAAGAAGGTGAATTTTCTTGTGACTTCACATTCTGTTGATGCTGCTCCAATTGTGGATAGTGATAGTAACAATCTAGGGAATTTGACCACAAGAGGAAAATCGTCGAGTGCTAGAAGTATTATGCCGAAATTGAACTTTCCGTATAATAGGACTTCATCATCTGATGTTGAAAAGGCGATAAGTTTGGCTCCGGAAAGTCCTTGTGAGAAGCCTTTTGTCTCTGGATCAGGATCAGTGTCTTTGAGTAAGCTGTTTGCTCCTAAGATTTATAGAACTTCTTCGCTACCGGTTGAAGAAATCGGGCGTGTTAATAATGAGTTTGCTTTTGGTGGATGTCTTGGTGCTTCTCCATATGTAAGGCTTTTAACTTATAATATCAATTTTGAAATAGTGGTTATTTTGTCTTTTGATTAACTTGTTAAGTCCTATTTTGATGAACAGTTTAATTAAACGTGTTTGTGTGAATGAGCATGCTTTCCACTTTCTAGTCCTAATTCTTATATTCTTTAGTGGTTGCCAAATCTTGCATGTATATCCTTTGTTTTAACCAATTTGATCCTTTTGCAGAGAAGCCAGGGATCGATAGCTCGCACTCGTTCAGAGCCGGTAGATAGCAAAGAAAAAATCATAAGGAAAATGGATAAGTTTTTCCGCATTATTCCTTCCACCCCAGGTGCAAAGGAAGTTAAAGAATGGTTAAAAGCTTCTGCAGAAAAGGATACAGGTATTAAGTCTAACAATACAAAAGCTGATTGATACATTTTCATTAACTCGACTTAAACATAGGAAGTTGTCCTTCCTCCAAATGGGCTTTTGACCAATTCTATTAGACCCATTCTTCGGTCACGATGTTGGCCCTTGAACTTCGGGTTTTTAGGGTTTCACACGCCTATATAAATTAATAGATAGCCTTCAACCTAAGCACTGCATTATTGGCATTTCTAGATCTGTAAATTTTCAATATCTTGTTCGTTTGCTTTCCCTTGGCGAGCAATTATTCACTCTGTTTTGAATTTGCCTCACTACACCTTTAGCTTGATTTCGAATTGATTACATGAAAATCAAAGCTAGTCATAGAGGCGTAAATTGAATTTCTGGCGGTTTTCACGTGGTGCTTTAACCTTTCAATGTTTATGCCTCTAAAGAAATTCGCCACACCTCTTTTATTTAATACATATATCTCTTCAATTTGGCTATGATTACATATTATCCACGCTTCTGAGTTTTCTGTATGAAGTATACTGGAATAATTGGTTGAATTTCTTGATATGAGCCAAAAGATCTTTTAATTTTTGTTAATTTTTTTTTTGTTATTTTCAATTGTTATAATGTTATATGGCTGTGATGACAATTTAATCAGCTTTATGCCAGTTCTGCTTCTGAAAAATCGTGATTGATAGAGCTGTAATATATACTCTGAGCCTTTTCAATTTATTATTTATTGCGTTTTGAATTAACTTTAACATTGTGATTTTAATTCTTTGTATTGAGTTTTTCAATTATTTGTACTCTTTTTCTCTATTGAATTGGATTAAGAGTCTGAACAAACTCAAATATTTTGTGTTGTCTATCAGCTTCATCTTTTGTATCCTACGAGTTTGGAGTTAAATAACAGCACCATATTACTTTTATGGACATGGTTAGTTACTTTTTTGTTAATGGATGTTTTGGTGGTTGTGATGATTATAAAAAATTCCTCGTACTGAATGCTATTGGCATGACAGACACTTTACACCCATAGAATATGAGCAACCACTTCGTTCTATCAATTCTTTTTTATATTTGCATTAATTTTTTAGTGCCTCTTTTTTTATAAAATGCAAAATTTTGAATTTTCTGGAGTGATAAGCATATTTTGCAGAGCATAATTTATATATGATTGCTTTGCTTTTAGCTATCTCCTTATACTGAATTCGTGATGTTTAAAGCCCTGGTCAAAATTGATTGAATTTGGGTTACGCACACCTCCACATTTTAATAGCACCACAAGTTTTTATTTCAATGTATATCATGGATGTTTTGATATTTTCTATAGAGTACTCCTTCATGATAGTTTTAATTAAGTCATAAAATTTCTTGAGAAATATTTTTAATTGTCACAATTTGACATTTTATACAAATCAATAAAATTAATAATGATTGTTAATTTTAGATTATGATTTTTCTTGTCTATAAAATCTTTAGTTAAAGAATGGTTAAAAGCTTCTGCAGAAAAGGATACAGGTATTAAGTCTAACAATACAAAAGCTGATTGATACATTTTCAATACAACAATTTGCTAATATAATCATTCCAAGTTAATTTGATTAAGGATATTGTTACTCCGGTTAATTTGATTGGTTATGGGTTGGCGTTTTTGGGGGTTGCGTATTATAATCATTCCAAGTTGCAGGCGCTTAAGGCTTCGGAGACGCAGAAGAAGGCTCTTCAGAATGATGAAGAGGCTGGAAGGTTGTTGGAACAGAGAGACGGAGAAGGGACTGGAAGGAAGATCGACAGCCAGAACTGATTCAGAACTGATTCAGCTTGTCTTTCTCATTTTTGGATGCAAAATTCTGTCTGTTGGATGAGGCGCGTTTTGCTTTTGGGTATATGCGGTGGTGTAATTTACTACTTTTAGGTAATTATTTAATTTTACTCGGATTATCATCAGTATTATTATGTCATTTTATTTCATTTCAGCTTATTTCATTCATATTTTAGTTGTGTATCAGGTCTGAGATTGGCGTCTGTGTCTTATATATGCTTATTCAGTGTTTCGTATTAATGATCAGTTAATGAATTTAGTTTCCTTGATGCTCTAGAAAGCTTGTTATCAAATTGCTGTTTTTCTTTCTTAAGCTTAACATACTTGATTTGTGTTTATTTTTCTTGCCTTAACTATTGTGTAATTATCTAATATTCTATAAATCTAGATTAAGTTTTAATTTATTAAACACCTTTGCATTCAAGAGATATAGGCTAAAATTGTGCTCTATAATGACTTGATCAAGAGATTTCGGTGTATGAGAAAAAGTAGTATCATAATGAAATACTCTTTCTTGTTTCATCAACTGTTTTAGCTGCATTTATGGATCTGTGTTTTGCTCATTCAAAATCAATGGACTTGATAAAAGCATAATGTTAGCTATCTTTCTACTGATTGCCAAGTTGTAATTGCAATTCATGCGACAACATTCACCTCAACTCATTGGTTGGTAGTGATTGCAGTCAATTCAGATTTCATTGTTTTCAACTCGATATGTCACTTTTCTGAGTATACGTTGCATAAGATGCTCTGTAATTTGCTACTACTCTCTTTAGTGGAATGAAGTGAATTTCGGTCTCACTGTTCCATGAAATAAATTCAAAAGTATGAACTTATCATCTAAGCATTAGTGATCTTGGATCAAGCTTACAAATAATTTAAATAGAAATGTAAACTGCTTGACTGGTAGATGATTTTTTTCTCTTCATTTCTCTTTACACACTCACACTTCCTTTGGTTTTGAATATTTCAAACATATTTTTCCGAAGCTAACCTCTTTTTGTTATAGTTCCTGAAAATCGGAAAATCTCACTTGTTATAGGTAACTTGTAGCAAAGTTATAAGGTGGTATAAGCATATTACAATGTGCAATAATTCATAAATCTTTTCTCCCAATAATAAGTACTGGTATCTCACGGAAATCTCACGCTTCAATAGCAAAAGCAATGTCTCCTTGCATTATTTTACAAATGGTTTCCCAATAGTAAATATTTCAAAACAATTGGATTGTTCATTCAAATTAATAATACTGAGTTAGTATTTGTTTCCGCGTCAAATATGCCTCTAGCGTCTACCAAAAGCTAGGAATCTTAGCTTTTATTTTTTATTTTCACGGCAGACTCCATTCTAGACGTGCGTTTCTCATTCTAAACGTGAATCCAAACAAGCTATGAATATTAGTTGTAGGTGTTCACGTGAATTTTATTTTATTGGAGATTTTGTTGTAGTTGATTTTTCTGTACCTTATAACTTTTCATACAATTGGAGTTTGATTGTGAGAGTTATTCTGCCAGCCCATAATTGACAGTTAGTTTTGTAATGCAGGTACAAGAAGAAGCGCAAAATGGACAAGTAGAATTGGAAAAACATGTCATCACAAAGACATTGACTAAGCCATCTGAGGCATATTATGATGCCAAAAACCTGCCACATGTTCTTGTGAGTACAAAAATATGTTTTGTGTGAATCTTGCAGGCTGCTAGGTATGCGTAGCTTGGACCAAATGGTAGTCAAGGAAGGATCATGGTCCTAGCATGGAAGTTTAACACAAAATCACTTAACACTAAGGACTTTCATGAATTTTGTAGAATATTGTAACATTTTTTGTAATTCTCTCAAGTTGTAGCAAACCAATGTAAATATTAAAATGAAATTTGGCCTTTGATGATATTTGAATTTTTCTTGTTTATTGGTAAAATTTGCACTTCTTTTTACCTTTTATCACATTTTTTTGATATTATTGATGATTATTTGATATTAAATGTTTTTATTGTAATTAACTTTATTATGTTGAAAAGTGATAGAAAATAAAATAAAAATACTATAAATAAAAAAATATTAAAGTAAATAATAATTTAAATATAATAGTAAAATATTATAGTAAAATAATATTATATTTAAAATTATTTTACTAAATAATAATTTAAATAAAAATATTATTTGAAATTTATAAATCAGATTACGACGGTTAAAACCGCCGCAATTTCTAACCTACGGCGGTAGAATAACCGTCGCAAACAACAACAAAAACAAAAAATAAAGTCAAATTCACGACGGTATATAACCGTCGCTATCTGTTGTGCGTGACAGTTTTTGCAACCGTCGCGAAATAGGCTGGGGACGCACGATTCTGCGACGGTACTTCTACCGTCGTAGATTGTAAATTGCGACGGTTTTAACCGTCGTAATCAGCCAAAATAACCGTCCCAATCTATCATTTTTCTTGTAGTGATAGTGGCTAGCGCGTCTTCTAGTTGATTTTCCTCTCGTGGAAAATGCTCAAAGGTGATTTCCTCAAAATGTGGGATTAATGTAAACACATGTTCTTTGTAGGGGATGAGGTTAGGGTGCTTCGTGTCCCATTCTCCTTTGATCTGACTGATGACTAAGGCTGAATATCCAAATACACTTAAGGACTTGATTCCCAAATCTATGGCAGCTTTGAGGTCAAAAATACACGCTTCGTATTCTGCCATGTTATTAGTACAGTTGAAACAATGTCTTGCGGTGAAGGGAGTATGACATCCTTCATGGGATATAATTACAACACCTATGCCATTGCTGAGTGCGTTGGAGGCTCCGTCAAAAACCAAGGTCCATCGGGATCCTTGTTCAGGTCTGTCATATGGTTTGAGTTCTTCACAATTGTTTACCATCATGATGTCTTCATTTGGGAACTCGAATTTCATGGACTGATAGTCATCCACAGCTTGATGAGCAAGGTGATCGACTAACACACAGCCTTTTATTTCTTTTTGAGTAGTATACTAAATGCCGTATTCAGTCAGGATCATCTGCCATCTTGCTATTCTCCTAGAGAGGGCAGGCTTCTCAAATATGTATTTAATTGGATCCATCTTGGATATCAATAAGGTAGTATGGATCAGCATATATTGTCTTAGCCGGTGAGCAGCCCATGCCAGAGCGCAACAAGTTTTCTCGAGCAATGAATATCTTATTTCACAGTCGGTAAAATTTTTGCTCAGGTAATAAATAACATGCTCTTTTCGGCCAGACTCGTCATGCTGCCCCATCACACACCCCATTGAATTTTCCAAGACAGTTAGATACATGATCAAAGGTCTTCCCTCGACTGGTGGCATCAAAACAGGAGGCTCTTGAAGGTACTCCTTGATTTTTTCGAAGGCAGCTTGGCATTCATCATTCCATTTTACTACTTGATCTTTCTTCAGTAATTTGAAGATTGATTCACAAGTAGCGGTCAAGTGAGAAATGAATCTGGCAATGTAGTTTAGTCGTCCTAAGAATCCTCTGACTTCCTTCTTAGTGCAAGGAACGGGCGTTTCTTGTATTTCTTTCACCTTGGTAGGGTCCACTTCGATACCTTTACCGCTGACGACGAAGCCTAGGAGTTTACCAGACCTTACCCCAAATGTGCATTTATTCGGGTTCAACCTTAGCTTGTATTTCTTTAGCCTCTCAAACAGTTTCTACAAATGGTCAAGATGTTTCTCTTCATTTTGAGATATGGCTATCATGTCATCCACATAGACCTTTATTTCGTGATGGATCATGTCGTGAAATAGAGCTACCATGGCGTGCTGATAAGTTGCCCCAGCGTTCTTCAACCCAAATGGCATAACATTGTAACAGAAAGTGCCCCACTGTGTGACGAAGGTCGTTTTCTCCATGTCTTCAAGTGCCATTTTGATTTGATTGTAGCCTGAGAAACCATCCATGAATGAGAATAATTTATGTTGTGCGGTATTGTCAACCAAAATATTGATACGGGGAAGTGGGAAGTCATCTTTAGGGCTTTCCCTATTCAAATATCCGTAGTCCACACACATGCGTACTTTGTCATCCTTTTTAGGCACTGGAACAACATTGGCGACCCATTGTGGATAGGAGGTGACGGATAAGAATCATGCGTTGAATTATTTCACGACTTCCGTCTTGATCTTCTCTGACATGTCTGGCCGCATGCGATAGACTTTCTGTTTTACCGAAGGGTAGTCTTCTTTTATCGGTAGACGATGGACCATGATATCAGCGTCAAATCCTGGCATGTCTTCGTACGACCAAGCAAAGACCTTAGCATAGTCATGTAGTAACTGAATTAAGCACTTCTTGACACTAGATTCCAGATTGGCTCCTACCTTGACTTCTTTCTTGTCCTCTTCAGTACCTAGGTTAATTGTGTCTACTGGTTCTTCGTGGGGCTGTATGGTCCTTTCTTCCAGTTGTAGTAACTTGGATAGTTCCCCTGGCACTTCACAATCTTCCTCACCTTCGTCTTCGGCTTGGTAGATTATATTTTCAAAGTCACAAAAGGCCATAGCAGAATCATTACCCATGGGATCCTGAGTGGATGTAGATCTGCATTTTAATATGTGAGTATGTGTAAGAGCATAACTATTATTGAAAGAAAATAAAAATGTAGAGAAAAAAAGACAAAGAGCACAAAGTTTGCATGCAAAAACGTCCATGATTCATTGATGACATATGAAAATGAAGTAACAACCCTTACAAATGGACCATTGTGCCTTGGGTAAGACATAAGGTTTTAAAAGTCTGAATTGTTTAATTATTACAGGTCCGACAAAAATTTAAAGACAATTACTGTTGGATAAAAGTAATTGGGACAAAACCTTTAGCTTCCCAGTTGGTGAGTCCTCCGTTGATGGTTGGGAAAATCCATTCTTCCAGGTCACAACTGTCATCACTATCCTCCACTGTGTTGACTGCATGGTTGTTGATCTTCAAAGGTGGTCCCCCGGCACAAGCACGACGAACAACTT